ATATTTTATATATTTATGCTAAACTTATTATTTATTCTAAAAATTGTGGTTGCCCAAGAAGATTGGGAAAACGTTTATACTGCATTTGTAAATGATAATATGACTGAATAGGAATGTATATAATCAATTCATAAATAAGCTTGGGTAGTAACAGGAGCAATGAGTGAGGACCAAATCGCAAATTGTGCTGGATAAAAAATTATTGGAGGATATATTGCATTTGGGAGTGGCACAGCAGTCTAAAAATTATTTTATCTCCCTCCTCATTATAAACTAAGAATTACAATAAATTTCTGGAAGTAATAGGAATATTTATCATCGTCAAGATTAGGTTGTTGGGAAGATGAAGTACAATATATCATAATTGATGATATAGTTTGGAAATAAACTTTTAGTTGTTCATAAGGTTTTAGTTAATGTGGAACAAGTTATCATGATTATTTATGTTAAGTTGATATCATAACTACACATAATTCTGAAACATTATTAATTTTTATGAAGTCTAATTTAGATGGGGGAAAAGAAGTAAATTTTGTTTTAAACTAAGGAATTTTGGGGATTTAATAATTTCACTCTTGATATTTTAAAATGTATTCCTGATTGCCTCCTTTGTAATCAAAACTCATCTGACCTATGTTAACCAGAAATGGATACTACCCATAATTAGATTTATAATCCTAATGTTGATATATGGTTTAATACTAATAATTTGCATGTTTTAACAACAATTTGTCTTGATAAAATATCTCTAATTGGAGGATTTTAAATTTTAGGGAGATCAGGTTTATTAAAGACTAAAATTAACCTTGATCCACATTATTAATTCTAAATTAAATTCAAAATATGGCTGATTGATATTTCCAGTGTTTCTCACAATTTTAACATTGTTATTGATGGGATTATTCATCCATTCACTATTACTCCTGCCAGTTCGATTTCCTTCTGTGCATCATCTCAATAAGAAAGCATTTATAATGTTGATTTTACTTATAGTCATTAGAATCCTTAAGTTGAAATTCAAATAGCTCCAACATCATTAAAGGGATCAAATCCCTTCTGGGCAATATTTAACTTTAATTTATTTGTTTTTAGATGCTCGTCTCATTGTATTAAATGTTCTGGATTCTAAAAAAACCCAATGTGAAATTTGTGCAGAAGAGTGGTTTTTAGATAATGGAGAATGTAACAGAAGTATTAATTAAATCATTTTTAGTCTAAAACCCTCTATAAATAACAAAATTATAACTCAGTTAAATTGTTAAAACATCAATTTCTCTATCCATTCCAATTTAATTTCAATTTTAAGAAATTGAAATTTCATAATTATCAGGATTTTTCCTTAGAGAACAAAATAAATTTCAACTAGATGTTTAAATCCAATGCAACCATAATGGCTTAGTAAAAACTGAAATGCATGTCTGTCATTCCTGTTAAAGTTAATCAATTTATGCTCAAACATTTTAATGCCAGGAATCAATTCAAAATTCATTAAACTTTCAATTCAATTATAAAAACTCAATATCACAAATGAAGAACAATATTTAATTAGTACTAGCACCACATAATTTCTTCTCTAATAGATATACTATAATAGGGAAATATAGGTTGGAAATATTGTGGTAATTTCCATGTTGCGTAATTGATCAATTCATTATATTTTTCAATTTTATTCTAATTAGTTTTTATATAAATAAAATCTATTATATTATTATCCTTGCATGAAAATTTTTGATTTTTATAAAAAGAGAATCCATTCTTTGTTACAACCTTATTTTCATTTCGAAATATTGAGTCAACATTTAAGGTTAGATTGCTTCTTCCGATTTATTAAATAAAAGAAAATAGTTATTATTTATCAATTTTAAAAAAGCCTATTTAAGATAGGTGTAATCATTAAAAATATAACAAGAAAGCTCTCAAGTGTAACCCTACAAGTTAGTCTCAAAGCCAAATGTATTAGTGAATATACACTTTTATGAAAATAAATAACAATCAAGGGTTGGAATTTGAGAGTGGTTGCAAAATGTTACAAGATTTACTATCAAAAATTATTTGTTCAATTAACATAGTTGATTATAATATTTATTACCATCAAGATTTTCGAAATTCATATAACTATTTACAATTTATTTGTTATTTTATTTTCAAGATGTCCATATTTTCTATTATTGCTGACCACAACTCTTCTCAGGCACCAATTTAACCCTCTTAACCATATAAAGAACATGAACATTATAAAGAGAAAATTTTTAATTACAACATTAATCTAATGCTAAATTTTTCTTAATTTATTTAGTTAGGATATGAATCTCAAGAAAGTAGTAGTTTGACAGGTTTTTGAATTTTTTTAGTCCCAAGAATATTTTAGGAATTTAAAATAATACCTTGCTATTATTTGGAAGTCGTTCCCTTCACTTAAAAGAGAACCTTTTTCCATAATAATTTTCAAATTTCCTTCAATAACACATGCAAATAAGAAAAAAAACAGAAATCAAATTATCAAAAGAACTTCAGAAAATCTGTGATTAAAAAAAGAAATTATCTAAAGACTTCATTTAAGAAATTACTGGAAAATTTAAGATTGATTAATGTTTTTATGCTACGAATCGGATCGAGGAGGTTTAAACATTTTCAGTCAATAAGAATGTTATTGGAATAACAAGCCATGATTTAGAGTAAAATTTAAATTTATAGTATTGTTGCTAGTTTTATGAATTTTAAAAAAAATCTCAGGCGTAAAGAAAAAAGTATAATTATCCAAACTAGAACATGATTTCAATTGCAAATAATGGCACATTGTTAAAAAAAAAGATTCAGAGAGAATTGAGCATCTAATAAAACTAAATTAGATGAAATTAGCTATTTAAAAGCATCAAGGGAAAGATATCAGCTAAAGGAAAAAAAATAGATTGTCAAATTAATACAATTTTCATAAAATATATATCTGTTTTTCAAATGTTATATGGTTATATTAAATGTTGATGACATTATAGAAACTCAAATAAATTGTATCACTTATTGAAGACTTTATAATTAAAAATACATTCACATTTGATAATTTTGGATATTTAGAAAAACTATCTTTTGGATAATCGTGACTATCATATTATGAAAATATTAAGCAGGTCTCTCCAAAGTGAAAATGCATAGAAGATGTTAAACAAGTTTTATTTAGATTAACAGGCGGTTTATGATAAATAAAAGGTATTGATACTTACTAATTTTATATATTTTGACGAGATGTTTTTAGATATACTTCTAATTCTCCTTAAAGTTGGAAACTAGAAAAAAAATCGAAAAATCTTGGTGTAAATATAAAAACATGATCAGACTTCGATTTTAAGAACACTTATTGA